TATGTGACACAATTTTAACAGATTTTAAAGTGCAATTCCACAGCAGTTCTTCATTCACAATGCTTAAAACCATCACCCACACCCAGCATCAGAACATGTTCATCCCAGACTAAAGCCCTATACCCATTAAGTGATAGCTCACCTCTCTTCCCTCTCCCAGTCCCATGTAAACACAATTCTATTGCATGTTTCCATCAATTTTATTATTCTAGATGTGCTTTTTTCCCCTTAGTCTAGCTACATGTTTGCCAATATTGTTGAGTTTTTCAGAAAACCAACTCTTAATTGTATTGGTTTTTCTATCCTCCATTTTTTCCCTCTCTATTCCTCTCTTCCTTTTGCTAACTTTGGTTTTGGCTTTTCTATTTATTCTAATTCTTTAACCTATGAAGTGTTTTTTTTTTTTTTTTTTTTTTTTTTGGTTACCATGCTTAAGAGTTTCCTGCTGTCATTTCTTTCTTGGCCCTTCTGCAGCTCTCCAGGATGCTAGTCTTATTTCCATCGGTACTGCACTGGTTTCAATATTTGCATTCAAGCCCCTTAGAGAATATTTCAATTCCATTTTATGTCTCAGTTCCAGAATCTTTTGTTTACTTGTCTATATTTTTTAATTACTTGTGATAGCTCTCATTGCCCACAACGAATCTAATTTTTTCCTCATATTCTTTAGTTATCTGTGTTGTATTTGCACTCAACTGAATTATTTGGCTCAGCTGAAGATGATTATTTGGATTCCTTGTAAGGAAAACAAATCTCTACTGCGTCTGGGCTGATTTCTGGACATTTCATTTGTTTCCTTGATTATTCCACACTTTCTGTTTCTTTGTGAAATTTAGTTGAGACTTGGGTTTGGGGTAAAACAGCTACTGCTCTCAGTTAATACCAGTTGATTCAGAAATGGTGAATTTATGATTCTAGAAAATCTAGAGGGGTCATCTCTCTGCGTTTTGGGGGTGGTTTCTCTGCATGTGAGCATGTATTTTCTCAGTTAAAGGGATTTGCCTGTTTCTCTGAAGACTTGTGTGAGATGCCAGTCTCTCCACCCACATAGAGAGTGCCTATCCTTACTTGCTCTGAGAGGCCCCAAGATACAACTTACACCTGCCTTCCTATCATTGTTAAGAGAAAAACGGAAAAAATCCAACAAGACAGATAATTTACAGAGGGTCCTCCCTTCTCGTTCTCTGTTGTGGAAAATTGGAAATATTCTCGTTGTCAGGTCAGACTGGACCAGGGTCAGAGTAGAGGGCAGGTAAAAAACTGTAAGTTTAGGGCTCTCCCTGGTGGCACAATGGATTAACACATTATGAAACTCTCCACAGCCACTGCAGCATGAGTTCAATCCCCCACCAGTGAGCTGACCCACACGGCGCGGCAGACCTCTCCTGACCCGCCTGCGGCCCCCTTCAGCAGTGTACTTCATTAATCTGCCTGTTCTGCTCCCCACTCTGTCTCTGGTGACTCTTCTCACCCACCACTCCTCTGGCCTGCACCCCAGTTCTGTATGCATAAATAAATAAATCTTTTTTAAAAAAGCTTGCAAGTTACAGACCAGTGGATTCGAATAGAAAACCCACATATAAACCCACGAGTTTATGGACACCTAATTTTTGACAAAGGAGCAAAGAAGATACAATGGAACAAAGAAAATTTGTTCAGCAAGTG